GCCTGGATAATCTCGTCGTCATATTATAGGCAATTTGACACCATTCCCCAATAATTCGAAATCACAGCTTTTCTAAAAAGACACTTCGTTCTGGTCTTAATTAATTTTAAATTACCTGCAAATTACGATTTTTGGTCGCATTGTATCATATTATTAAAAAAAAACTCATTAAAACTCATTTATTTCTGTAAATAGGCTTAAAAAAAGCACTTTTACACGTCCAGTATTAACCCTACCACTGCTTCAGGACAATAAATGGGCCAGTGCTGTATTTAACTGTTGATGATTTGGGATTTATTATATAAAATAATCACTGTGTCATGTCATGTACATCCTGTTTTTTTTTTATTTTTTACTACACATTGTGGGTATACTGAAATCAATTTATATTGAACTGTCAAATGTTTCTACAATAAACTNCTATACGTTGTTTCGTTGAGGTATTTGTCGAGTTTTTTAATTTCTACATATTGCAATCTTGCACTCAGGTATGTTTTTAGCCAATTGTGCATGTTTCCTCTAAAACCATATTCCTCACATTTTGATAGAAGTAGCTCATGAGATACATAATCGAATGCTTTACTCATATCGAAAAAGATTGTCGTTACTTCCTTAGATTTATCCACATGATCCATAATTGTGGTTAAAAGATTGAAAGTAGCCAGCACTGTAGACTTACCTTTTTGAAAGCCGTTTTGATTTGTACTCAGAATTTTTTGTTTATGGATAAAGTTAGTCAATCTAGAAGACATGGCTTTTTCCATTATTTTAGATAAGACAGAAACTAAGGCAATCGGTCTATAGTTGTCTATGATATCAGTTTCGTCAGTTTTATGGATAGGTTTAATAATTGTTGTTTTTAATTTTTCCGGAAAAATTCCCTGTGAGAAGGATAAGTTAATTAGATAACTTAACACAGGCGAGATAGTGGTTTTGGTATCTTTAATTATGTTTGTAGGGATTTCATCAAATCCTACCGAATTTCTATTTTTTAGTTTGCCAATTATAGTCTTTATTTCGTCAGTGTCAGTTGGATATAGAAAAAAAGTGTCATTTACATGCTGGATATAGTCGTTAGTCTTCCCTAACACCTTTGTCATATTATTAATATTTTCACCCAATTTCACAAAGTAATCATTGAAACAGTTTGCTATGTCTTTTGGGTTAGAGATCATTTTGCCGTCGTGTTTTACCTGTTTTATGTGGTTCAATTTTGAGTTCTTCGTATTTTTTATTAAGGCCCAAGATGCTTTACAAGTGTTGGTACTGTTTCTAATATGTTTAGTGTTATTATTTTTCTGCGCCCTATTTATGCATTTTTTCAAAACGGATGCATAATTTTGGTATCGAAATTTGAGGTTAATAGTTCGCTTTTTATAGTAGGAGAATCTAAGTAGTCGCTTCGTTTTACACGATAAACGTATACCTTTAGTTATCCAGCGACTCTTTCTCTGCCCTAAGTTTACTCTTATCCTTCTAATTGGAATGCATAAATTATAAAACAAAGTAAGGAGGTCATGGAAACTATCAAATGCTTTATTTATATCCATTTCTGTATAGATCTCGGACCAGGATAGACTTTGTAGGCATTCATTAAGTTTAGTGATATTTTCAGGACTGAGGTCTCGCTTATAGATAAAGTAATGACTAATTTGATTGAATTTGCCATTTATTGGAACCTCTAACGATTGGGCTGTGTTATGATCTGATAACCCAAGATGGTGTATTTTACAGTAAGCATCAGGTATGTTGCTAATTATCAAATCTATACAAGAAAGTTGCCTAGTTGGTTCAGTTACGTGTGATATATAGCCATAGTTTTGCAGCAGACTCATGAAATCCCTACAGATTTGGCTGTCCTTTATCATGTTAATATTGAAATCCCCTGTTAGTATAACTTTTTTTTTAACTTTTGTTTTGAGCTTGCTAAGAAGTCTATTCAGATTGTAAAGAAATTCATCCAAGATCGCCTTAGTGTTATCAGGAACTCTATACAAACAAATGACTATGCATTTGTGTATTGGGATTTCTATTCCACAACATTCAAAATGTTTTTCTTCAGACATGTCTTTCACATAAGATAGTTTTTTATATTCTAATCCATTTCTACAGAGAATGCAAACTCCACCACGCTTTTGATTTTTCCTACAATATGTTTCAGCGAGTTCATAGTTTGGCAAATGTAAGTTACTTTCATGACCCAGTCTCATGAAAGTTTCAGAGAGGCATATAATATCAACTTTATTATAACTTTTTTCTAATTCTTCTAAAGTCACTAGAAAGAGATCACGTTTGCCTAGTATTCCAGCTATGTTTTGATGTAGTAGGATTAATTTATCATTTTTATGACCGAAAAAACTGCTTATTATTTGATTGGAGAGGTGAAATCATATTGTTTTTCGAAAGACTAGTGTTTATTTCTACAGTTGGACTTGTATTTAAGACTTTAATTTGTTTTTTTTTAGGAAAGAAGTCTGTTATTCTGTACCTACGGACCTTTCCTGTATTAGTATCAGTTTGCTTTATCGTAGCGTTATTATTTTGTCCCATTTGACAGTAACGTTTTCGCGTTCTAGTCAAGTTTTTAATAAATTCCTCGTCATATTTAATATAGTCAATTTCAATGTTAAGTTTCATGCAGATTATGTCAAGTAATGAAGTATCTTTTATTTGCTGATTTCCAATATTTACAAACTTACAGTTAGAATAATTTTTTACAATCATTTCGAGGTCATAATTTAATTTAGAGACATTTAAGTAGGGATTTTCATGCACACTTAACAGGAATAGTTTATATTCTTTAAGGTAAGATAGTGCATTACACAGTTCTGTTATTAATTTATATGGATTTTTGTCGTTAGCACCTACAGACAACACAATAATATCATTTTTATGTAGTTTAAGTTGATCGTATCCCTTTAATATCTGTGTAGTAGAAGCATACGGTTTGATAAAGCTTTGCATAGCGTAGATGTCGTTCCATTTATCACGTCTGGTTCGTATGATCTTCTGACTTATTCCACGTACTAGTTCACCACCAAATATGTGGATCTGTGGTTTTCTTCGACTCTTTTCTGTAAGTTGGATAGTAATAGATGCGTCATCCTCTTTATTCTTGAGTACTTCTTTATTTGAACAGTAGTTGTTAGCTATTACTTTCTGCTGAAGATCCTTTATTTGTAGATTCAAGCCATTTATCTCCTTATTGGCTTTTTCTAGAGTTTGTTGCAAGTCGCTAATTTTAGTTTCAAGTGTTGCGATTTCTGAGTTATGGATTGCTTGATTTTCTATTGTAATATTAGGTCTTTGCGGTGTGAAGAAGTCAAAAGACGTAAGAGAATGTCTCTTTTTTCGAGTGTAGCTTTCTTCTTTTTGAGGAGTTTTACATATATTCTTGAGCATTTGTACTTCTTTGGTCAATTTAGCTGCACACCTCTTCAGTTCAACATTTTCCAGAATAGTGTTTTCTAATTCAAATCGAGTAGATGTCAGTTCTGTTGTTAGGAGCTCAACTTTTTCTCGTACTTCTTGTAACTCATTTTCTGTAGTTTTGTCACTAAGCACTGTGTGTTCAGCGCTCCTTGACAGTCTTTCCGTAATCAGATATGAGTTTTCTGATAAATCACTTTCTATTGGAGTGCTAGTATTATCAAGGACAATGGAATTGTTTTCTGATATAACTGGTAGCGGTGAGAACACATTAATCAATTCAGGCTTTGGTGAAATGTTTTTTGTAGCATTTTGTTGTCCTTGTTTACTTGTTAGTGATTTGTTTTTTCTATATGTAATGTTTTGCTGCTCCGTTGGATTTATTGTAGTATTTTTTTTCGACTTGGTACATGGCGGACATTTCCAGGTTTGCTTTTTCGCCGAGTCCATTAAGCGGTATAGTTTCTCAGATAGCCCCAGGCAGTCAAATTCGTAGTGATTATTACATACAGTACATAGAACTGTATCTTTCCTGCCGACGTAAGATTTACACTTATTACAAAGTACTGTATGCGCCGAAGATATCTTTTTGTTATTTGATGTCGTTTGTTTCGATGTGCTTGCCATTTTTTAAAACAAAAATATTTTCTGTAGTGAGATTCGATCCACAGGTCTGTTGATATCAGACCCCACTCCGTGCTATTGCGCCAGCGAGCACTTGAGATGTTGGGTGAATTTAAGAGTAACGTCAAGTTATAGGGCGTTTGTAAAAGTTCTGCCACTCAGCACTAGATGGCACTGTAAATTCTTGACTATAAAAATGCTGTGACAACTGACAGCACAACTTGACTACTCGTCAATAGATGGCGTGATCGAGTAAAATAGTTGCTCTGGTCATACGATTTCAACTTCTAATATTATAGCAGTAAGAGTCAATATCGTGTCACACTAGTTCGAGTTTGAAATAGTCAACCGTCCACTTTTGTTTACGTTTGTGTTTTCTTGAATTTAAATCATTTATTCTCACTGTATCCCGATAAATATTTGCGGTATTGTACACAGTCATTGGGTCACTATCATAACGTTTTTGAGTTCACTTGGTTTTACTGTTAATTCCACTGATATTTGTCAATTGAAAGTCGTTATTTTGCACTCGTTTTTTTTGCAGAAAGCTCAGTTTGTTTATCAATATAACACTCACACACAGTCATTGTCCGTTTGTACACACAATTCACTTATCAAACACCTAACTTAGCGTAATTATCTATTTTTAAGTATATTTTTTGTGGAGCTCGATGTGAACCGTGACGGCAGCGCCATCTCTCCNATTCTATTCTAATAAGCTGCAATGTTTTGGAAATTGTTGTGTATACCTGTAATTGGCAACATATTTAAACTAAAACCCCAATATGTGTTGTATACTGTGAATGTCTTAAATGTGTTTTGCTGTTGGTGTACCTTTATCAATAAATAATAATAATAGTAAAAAGAAGAAACTCAATTTTTGTGGTGACATTAATAGACTGTACAAACAAATCAAGTAGTGAAAACCGTAAGAAATGCAATCAAGCATGCTTAATTTACAACCTCCTCCTCCATTTTATTTTGAAAATGACCTTTTGAGTGTAACGTCCGGAAATTTGAATAGACAGTGGACGAAATGGAAAAGTGCGTTTTCAATCTACTTCAAAGCTTGCCAATTGGATACTAAGCCTGATGATGTTCAAGTGAGTATTTTACTTCACATAATTGGTGAAAAGTGCCGCGACGTTTATGAGCAGTTCGGAGATGAGAGACCTAAATCTGTGAAGGTATTATTGGAGAAGTTTGATTTATTTTTCTTGCCGAAGAAAAACCTAATGATTGAACGACACAGATTTTTTACACGTAATCAGCTAGAAAACGAAAGTGTAGAACAATACGTTTTCGAGTTGAACAAGCTAGCGGCCACTTGCGAGTTGAAGGATCTCAAGGATGAACTCATCAAGGATAGGCTTATATGTGGGCTAAGAGAGGATGCCTTAAGAGAACGGCTTTTGAGAGAATCTGAACTCACACTAAAGAAAGCATTGGACATATGTCGGATTGCAGAAATGTCTCGGGCGCAAGCGGGAAAAATAAAAACGGAGCAGGAGGACGGGGGATACCAAGAGAGGAATGTTCATCAGATCGAAGAGGAAATACACATGGTTCAGCAGCGGGGGCGCAGAGCGAGTTATAACGGTCAAGTTTGCCCTTGCCAGGCGGCGAGCGGCGCCCGCGCTCGTACCGCGCAGTCACAGGGAAACAAAATCCGTCCAGCGATGACGTCATCGGATTCAAACAGACAACCGTATCGTGCAGTGCGTACGTCTACCTCAAAGTGTAAATATTGTGGATTAAGTCACGAAAATGATAAAGTAAGGTGTCCAGCATACGGCCAGCGGTGCAATAAGTGCAATAAGCCTAATCATTTTGCGAGAATGTTTCGTGGGCGGGTGTATACGATACGGGAGGATAATTCGGACCAGGTACGTCGATTATACAGTGTTACTAAAAATAATAATAATAATAATAATAATCCATGATATAGTCAGAGACTAGATCCAGCATGTGCACCACTTTCACTTTTGTCGATTATTTTGCGCTTTAAACGGCCTCTACGTGTTGGATCTGTATCCCCACGCAAGCCTTATAAAGGACCGGGCCACTTTTGACCCGTGAGCTCCAAAGCGTACAAACATAATAATAATAATTTAAAATTAATAATTGCTTAATTAAATTCAAACTGGACACTGGAGCTGATGTGAACGTTTTACCTATAAAATATGCACTGAAAATAGGTTTACGAGTCGATAAAATATCTGAATCAAATGTAAAATTAGTAGGATATTCAGGTGATTCGATTAAGGTTTTAGGAAAGTGCATGTTAAAAGTAATTCACAAAGATAACTCGTATATATTAGATTTCATTATAGTGGATGTGGCTTCTCCGCCAGTGTTAGGGAGGATATCTTGCGAAGAGTTAAATTTAGTAAAACGTATTGCCAGTTTGCAGAGTGAGGTGTCTAGCACAAATATATTAAAACATTATAAAGATGTATTTGAGGGATTTGGTTGCCTTCCCGGCGAATATAAAATGCAGTTGCGTGATGACGCACGCCCCGTGGTGCATGCGCCGCGCAAATTACCTATAGCCTTGAGAGACAAAGTGAAACAAAAGTTAGATGAAATGGTAGATCAGGGAATTATTGCTAAAGTACAAGGGCCAACCGAATGGGTAAATAGTATGACAGTGGTTAAGAAAGCTAATGGTGATTTACGTATATGTTTAAATCCCAAAGATTTGAATAAAGCAATTAAACGTGAACATTTTAAATTACCTACATTAGAAGAGATAACAGCAAACCTATCAGGAGCAAAATATTTCAGTACGTTAGATGCTAAACAATCATTTTATCAAGTGAAGTTAAATGAGGAGTCTACAGACCTCTGTACGTTTAACACTGCGTTCGGTAGGTACAAATTTTTAACTATGCCATTTGGTATTACTTCAGCATCAGAAATATTTCACAAAAAGTTGTACGATTACTTTGTTGATATACAGGGTGTTATTCTTTTTGTTGATGATTTATTAATTTATGCAAATAATAAAGAAAATCATGATAAATGTTTACGCAAGGTTTTAGAAAAATGTCGACAAATCAACATAAAGTTAAATATGGATAAATGCAAAATCGGTTTGTCAGAGTTAAAGTATTTAGGGCATAAAATTAGTCAGCATGGAATAAGTCCGGATGATTCACGTATACATGATATACACGTATATATATACGTATGCGATAAGTGATTTACCTAAACCTACGAACATAAAGGATTTAGAAAGATTTTTAGGGCTAGTAACATATGTTGGCAGTTTCATACCTAATTTGTCAGAAAAAACACACACATTAAGAGAATTATTAAAAAAAGAAGTCGAGTGGCACTGGAATGAGCATCATAATAAATGTTTTGATTTGTTTTGATGAGTTAAAACAATGTTTAATTAGTCCACCAGTGCTGCAATACTATAGTTTAGAAAAGCCCATAACATTATCAGTGGACGCGAGTCAGTATGGTTTAGGCGCATGTCTGTTACAAGATAACAAACCGGTTTGCTACGCATCCAAGTCGTTAACAAAGACTGAGCAATCTTACGCGCAGATCGAAAAAGAGCTTTATGCATGCGTGTATGCGTGTGAAAAGTTTTATACCTATATTTATGGGCGTTGTGATGTAACCATCGAGACAGACCATAAGCCTTTGGTGAGTATCATCAATAAACCGATAGCAGGAGCTCCGCCCCGTTTGCAGAGGATGTTAATGAGACTGCAGCCTTACACTTTTACACTTCAATACAAACCAGGTAAGTATTTATATATAGCAGACACCTTATCGCGCGCCGTTGCGCCGGACGACGGCAGCGGCAGCTCGGAGCCGCGCGACCACATGGGCGCGGGAGCGCAGGTGTGTGCGATAGCGGTGAGTAATCCATTGACAGATTCGCATTTTATTGAATTGCAAAGATGTACCAAGTCGGACGAAGAAATGCAGCAGCTTAAGAATATAATACAAAATGGTTGGCCAGAGCATAAAAGTAAATTAGGAGTATTACTAAAACCATACTGGGACTGTCGTGATGAATTATATGTGGCTTATGATATGCTGTGGAAGTGTAATCGCATTGTAATACCAAAAAGTATGCGTGGGGAAATGTTAAGAAAAGTTCACATTGGACATTTGGGAGTAGAAAAATGCAAACTCAGGGCACGAGAAATAATGTACTGGCCTAATATGAACAGCCAAATACAGGACATGGTGTCACGTTGTCAGGCTTGTCTATCGCATCATAAAGAAAATCCAAAAGAGTCGCTTTTATCTCACGAAATACCTGATAGGGCATGGTCCAAGGTGGGGGTTGATATTTTTCACTTCGGAAAAAATACGTTTATTATCGTAGTTGATTATTATAGCAAATATATAGAGGTTATTGAGATAGGAAATATGACGTCACTNAAATTTTTTTTCTTACTGATGTTATAGAGTAGAGCAAAGTGAAATCATTGCTTAAATAATTGGAAAAAGGCGTAAGCGGCAGTTTCGCCCTTATACGTAGGAGCCATCGAGGTGGGGGTTGATATTTTTCACTTCGGAAAAAATACGTTTATTATCGTAGTTGATTATTATAGCAAATATGTAGAGGTTATTGAGATAGGAAATATGACGTCACTCAATGTCATTAAAACATTAAAAGGTATTTTTAGTAGGCAGGGGATACCTGATATTGTTATGTCGGATAATGGACCAGAATTTTCTTCAAACCTGTTCAAAGAATTTAGCCAATTGTGGAAATTTCAGCATATTACTTCATCACCTAGATATCCTCAGTCAAACGGTCAGGTAGAAAGGGCAGTACAAACAATAAAAACAATGCTAAGGAAAGTGCATCACGAGGGAGGTGATTTTTATTTAGCACTATTAGAATTCTTAAATACGCCTATAAGTAATAAATTACCATCACCCTCGGAGTTGTTGAATAATCGAAAACTTCGCAGTATTCTCTAGAGATGNATGAATGAATTTTAGTGTTGGAACCCAACAGTGCCTACCCAAAGTCATTATTCCACGCGGACGAAGTCGCGGGCACAGGTAGTTAGCTAATAAAGCCGTAAGTTCCCATCGACACACATATATCAGATTACTATCGCGTTTACATCACGCCCGTGCCTGATGGTAATGGAATCAGCCCTACAGGGCACCTTGGGGAGAGCCCTTTGTGCCCAGCCCCATATCCGTTACCGAGGTACTCGTTACTCGAAGTATCGTTACTTGCAAATCAATTTCGTTACTTGCATTTTGTATCCATCAGTTGTATCAGTCAGTTATTTAGTATATAAGTGAGATTTCTTTATTAATATGTAGACCCTATAAAGGGCACTTATAAGCAAATTAATAGTTAAGACTCACTCTATATTTTTGACAAGACAGGTATTTGACCGCAATCACACCTGATGTAAAGTGAGATGCTGTCTAGGATGGTACATACATATATCGACCCTGTAAGTCCTTATTCACTCTCGTCTTGAAAATCTAAATCGAATATCAGACCAAATTAAACAAACTAAACACTGCGGTATCTTATGCATTTGTAAAAGATGCCAAAATGTGTTGCCCGATGTTGCTACATGTAATACCATTTTCAGAGCATGCTTGATATATTCCTAAGTATAGAAGTTCTATGATATACTGCTACTATAACTTCTCAATATTTTTTTTTTGTTAGTGAGTGTTATTGAGGTACACATGCAATGGTAGCTAGTGGAGTACTCCAATGGGGATGTTGCCTGGGTCAAAAAGCAAGAGTTTTAATTAGTCCGTCAGTTAACTTATAAAAAAATACTCTACACGTATTTTTCACTTTTTCAAACTAATGAAAATTTAAAGAGATAAAGCGCCCCAAAGTTCATAAGAAGAGGCCCGTGACGTCAACGCTTGCTTAAAAATGCCGCACGTTGTGACGTCGTGCGCAACTTCAACGCACCATAACTATGTAATTATTTGTTAGATTGACAAATAAAAATATATGTGTCCAATATTTTTTGATATTAAACATTACGGCCGGACGACGGCAGCGGCAGCTCGGAGCCGCGCGACCACATGGGCGCGGGAGCGCAGGTGTGTGCGATAGCGGTGAGTAATCCATTGACAGATTCGCATTTTATTGAATTGCAAAGATGTACCAAGTCGGACGAAGAAATGCAGCAGCTTAAGAATATAATACAAAATGGTTGGCCAGAGCATAAAAGTAAATTAGGAGTATTACTAAAACCATACTGGGACTGTCGTGATGAATTATATGTGGCTTATGATATGCTGTGGAAGTGTAATCGCATTGTAATACCAAAAAGTATGCGTGGGGAAATGTTAAGAAAAGTTCACATTGGACATTTGGGAGTAGAAAAATGCAAACTCAGGGCACGAGAAATAATGTACTGGCCTAATATGAACAGCCAAATACAGGACATGGTGTCACGTTGTCAGGCTTGTCTATCGCATCATAAAGAAAATCCAAAAGAGTCGCTTTTATCTCACGAAATACCTGATAGGGCATGGTCCAAGGTGGGGGTTGATATTTTTCACTTCGGAAAAAATACGTTTATTATCGTAGTTGATTATTATAGCAAATATATAGAGGTTATTGAGATAGGAAATATGACGTCACTCAATGTCATTAAAACATTAAAAGGTATTTTTAGTAGGCAGGGGATACCTGATATTGTTATGTCCTCTGCACCTTTACATCTTATATGGATCACTTTTTCAGTAGCAATGATAAGTTTTGAGACGTTTTTTTATCTATTTAAGTAAACTATATTTTTTACAGTAACGATTTTCTTTCGACCGATAAACAATACCTTATTTCTTCCTTTCAAACAATTTCCTTTTCAGTGTGCTTACCATGAGTTTACGTTAGGTGAGCTCCCTAGCGAAT